AATATTAATATGGTTGATGTGTCCTGTCTTCAATCTATTCTATAAAAATTAGAATTAGGTGCAAAGCATAAATCACCTCTGGTCCTGTAATTTCATACAAAATCTTTGGCTTTTTTGGGGTTTAGAATTTATTTTATTTTTTTTTTAAGCATGTATGTTGCTTGTTTTTAACTTCAGCATTAGTGTTGTTGTGATTTAAATTATCCTCCTCATATTCAGAATGAAACTTGAGGACCTTATCTAGATGTTGATTGCTGTTTTGCTGATTTTTGTTCAGGACTGGGTAGTGCGCAGACATTATAGCCTCTTTTGGCCTGTCAACAAGCAGAGGAAAAAACATATAATTCTCACATATGATGAAGGACTGGAAGGAAAAGACAGAGAGCAAAAAGTAAAATGGTAGGTAGGGTAAAGAGAGGAGTGCAATGCAGCTGAATTTCTGTGCATTTATGCAGCACAAGTTGGGACTTAACACAGCAACGTGACAAAAATGTCAATTATGACCATTTCACTGCTCTGTTGCTAAAAGGAATGGCCTTCTCAGCTCTTGATATATACCAATATCTTGATTTCAATTGTGTTAATGAAGTTAAATTTAGGTAATGTCATAATTACAAATGTATTAAAAAGAAAGAAAAAATGAAAAGTTTATACATGCTCCTTCAGACCTATCTCACCATTGACAGTTCAAAACAGAACATAGCATGCAATTTTAAAAGTATTTTTTACTTCATTATTAGTAAGGATTTTGTTAGTCTATATTGACATCAATTAATGGCACAATTTGTGCAAAAAGTGTCTTAATGACCTTATTTTAAAATACTGTTTTGGATATGTTTTTTTCCCTCCCCTCCCCCCAAACCAATATTGTTTACAGATTCTGAGAACATTTTTCTATTCTATTCTATTCATTTTTATATAATTATATAATTATTTATATAATAGTTATAATAATTCATTTTTTTCTCCATCTAGTAATTGTATTCAATCAGTAAGATCTTTCCTTTCTAATGTCTTTGTGTCTAGGGGCTTAGTGTGTGAGGGCATGATGAGAGAATTCAGTGCATCTTCTTCCTCTCTTTATTGTTTTTCTTGTGACAAATCTTTAACAGACTCTAGAGAAAATCAGTGTATTTGAAAAAAAGAAAATTAGACATCCCTTCCCCTAGGATTTTTTTAGAAGATGGATACAATATTGACTTCCTGATAAATGTTAAATAGGAAAAAAACATTTTTGCACTCTTAGGAATGCATGTTGTCGATGTGATTTGCATTAGACTGGAGTAGGATTGTAGCAATATACAGTATTTAGTATTCCTCAATTAATGGCTTACACCATATTGATGTATCACATTCAGTTCTCAACAGCTTTCTTTATTTCCTAAATGTACTTCCATTTAGGAAATGAGTTAAAAATAAATATGACAGTTACAGATAAGATAAAACTCTGACTACAGGCACATTTGGAAGAGTATATGACAATAAAGTAATCTGTTAGTTGGGAGAAATTCTCCCTACTCTGTTGATGGACACCTACTTGGGTCCTCTCTTGAAAGATACTTATGATGGTCTGGGAAGAAGAGGAGAGGCCCAGTGCAATGCATGGCTTTTGTGATGTCTTGTGGCATTCAACTCTTTGAACTAAATTTGTATGGTAAAAGCAAGAATTTCTTTTCAAGAGGCTGAAAATGCATTAACACATTCAAAAATTGCTTTTTGTTTGTGTTGTGAGAAGAATTAGCCAATCATTTTTACTCTACACTATGTGTATATTTATTTATTTAAATATTTTTGCAGATGTACATCTTAGGATGAACTGAAGTGACTCCTGACCAACTGTGAGGTCTCAAGCAGGCAGAGGGAAAGATATCATGTCCTGTATTGTTTCATTTTTTTCGTCAGTCACAGCAAGCCAGTTCTCTAATTATAGGGTAAAAAGTTATATATAGAGTATAAGACAAGAGGAATGCGAATAAATAAGTGAAAAGCTGTTAATATTCCTTTCTACATCAGCAACAGGAATTGCATTTAAAATGCTCAACGCAATATTGTATCAACAATACAAAAATGTTGGAGAGAATACAGAAAATCCTGAGCGTTAAAAACCTTTTTAAAAGGGAAAAGCAAAAAACACTGAAATTTCTTATAATCAAATAAATGAATTTAGTAGATATGGTTAACATTTCTTTATTAACAACAGATTATTCAGTAAAACAGGAAGGTGAGGTGGTAAATTCCATATAATTGAAAGAGATTTTCCAGAAGGCTTCTGTGGCATAGTACTAAAAAAAATTGAATGTGGTATAGTAGGAAATAGTTAACAGGTCTTTGACTTTTAAATCTAATTTACTTTGAACTTCAGAGTATTTGTCAAACTCTTTACCAAATGGTCTTCAGAAAAAAAATGAAGTGTGCTTAAATGACTTTGTCTACAAGGGCAGGCTGAGCAGACTGGAACTTTTAAGAACAGGAGGGGTACATACACAGGAACTCTGGTAGAGGTGAATACAAAGATTATTGCTCCAGAGGGGATAAGCATGGACCTGTGAGCTGGCAGCCTTAGGCAGGGGGAGAATAAAAACCCTTAACCCACAGCATTTTGTTTTCCTCTACCACAGAATTTAAACTGCAGAGTGCACATCTAGTATTTTCGGATGGTCTTGAGTACAAACTGATTTAAAAAGAGACTGGAAGAACAAGAGAGAACTGGCTAATGAATAGCTATTGAAGACAATTGTGTGGACACAACCTGTGACTTGTATAATAATAATTAACTTAAAATAATTCTCATTTATTACTGACAGGCATTTTGCACATTCCTTGGTGGTAGCAGCTATGGAGACAGATTGTGTACTAGATGGACTAATGCTCTAATCTGCAGTTGCATTTTTCTAGATTTCCAATTTGAATACGAATATTTGTACAAAAATCATTACATTAATCTTTTTCCAAAGCCTAGGAAAGATCCAAAAATCATTTGCTGTAGTGCATCCCTGTAAAACATTCTGCATGAAATATGGGTTGCTGTGTGGTTCATCGCCTGTGTTCCTTCTCTGGAAAATACTCCTGGATGTGATGGGGAGGAATGTTTTTAAAAGTCACCCTTTTCTCTAGAAGGGGCACAGACTTTAAAGCTTCTGGTGGTGATTACACCCCAGTTATGTTCTGCCTGGCTCCTGTTGACTGAATTACAGAATGACAATTGAACCTCTGGGGGCTTCATAATGTATATATTGTTGGTGCATGATGTGGTGGAAAGCAGCATCCTTCTGCACACCAGTTTTGGACCGAGGAAATAAATGCACTGTGCAGTTTTGAGTAATTACTTGTAGTCTGTTCATGAATCTGTGTCTCTGCCATTTATTTAAGCCAAAGCAAGTCTCTGGTTGCCCCCAAGACTTTGGTTTTTCTTTTAAAATTCTTTGGCAGAAGAATGATTTCTCTCCTCCTTCAGGAGGTTAGCTGCTTGTCAACCTATTCAACTTGTCATTTCCTGAGAATACAGTTGGGGGGCAGTCAGAGCAGGAGCCTGCTGTTGGGGGCCTCCTGCACAGTGTGCTACAAACGAAAGGAAGCTTCACTTTATATTCATCGTGTTATATTTTTAACAAAAAGTTTTTTTGCCTTATTTGATTTAAAATATTTTAAAAATTATTTGCTTAAATTTAAAACATAGAAATAATATTCAGTCAATTCATATATAGATCTAAGTACAGTAGTCTTTGAAAAAGTATTTTAAAACGTATTAGCTAGTTTAGAAACTGTGAATAAAAACTAATTCATAACATATGGATCTGGCTTTTCATAAAATACAACCGATTCTGAAATGTTGGTGAATTAATACTTTTGAAGAAGCTAAAAGCTGAAGGAGTCACCTAATTAATATGCGTAGCAAGTAATAACCTGTCTGCTGCATATGACTTCAGCAACAGAGCCAAAGAATATGGCTTTGTGCAATTTTATCACCACAAAATTTAGGCTTATACTCAATTTTTCAGCATACTCTTATATTTCTGGACTGAAAGTGAAACCTATGCTCACTGACATTCCTTAATGGCAGTGGACCCAGGACACTTGAATGCTTTTGTGAGCTGAGGCCTAATCAATAAGTATCTGGAATATAGGGTTCTTCTGGAAGAGTCAAATATGTTAGTGGTTTAACAGATCTCAAATTTAATCTTTTTTTTTGGCATAACTGTGTTTTCACAGAGTGGCCTGCTTTTACTTGGAGAATGTTGTAATTGTGTAAGGGCTCTCTTGTATGCCTTTCCTTTTAAAGAGAAAAAAAACAAATAAAAACATATATATATATATATATATAAGGTCTTGCATAACTCTTAATGGAAGAGCTGTGCCTTGTTCTGAGGTTAAAAAGGAAAATTGAAACAAAAGAATGGCCAATTAATAGAATGTAGGATATTTAGGTAAAATAAAGTCATTTCATCCATGATGAAGAAGGTGCCTACTGTCAAGCAAGCACAGTGTGAAGAAGGCATAATAACTAATAACTTATTTGTACCTGGGTTATTAGGATAAATCTGCAGATAAGGATATGTGTATAATGGAAGCTTCAAAAGCTGCAAATCTGATGTGATAAATGATTCAAAGTGCAACACATTAGATTAGATTTTAATGTTTGTAGAATGAATGAAACAATACATCTATATGCCAAAACCATATTATCATAAACGTATTTGCCAAACTATAAGACATAAATTGCACTTAAATTTAGTAATCTATGATGGTATGGTTGAATGTATCTTTGTGATTAAATGTGAACAATTGCTCCTTTAAGGTTAAGGTCTGTGTATGTGTGATTAATCAGATTGAAATGACAGGGCGGACAGCTCATGCCATGCCTGGTTATCAGAGTGATTGATTTTAGTCAATGCTGCTGGATGAAAAAAAATCTGCTAATAACTACAGCTGCAAAACTCCTGATGTCATTGATAGCACAAATCACTTCTCTCACTCCTATTATCTGGCTCATTTGCAGATACGGAGCACACAAACCAATCCATTGGAACGCAAAATTATAACATACAGATTTATGCAAGAGGGATGACTGCAAAGTGCGTTTCATGAGCAGTGTAAGAAGCTGAAAATTGCTGCTGTTGTAGCTGTCATAGGCACGTTATTTTCTTTGGTATGTGTGGAGATTTTGCTGTCAGGCTTTTATCCTCCAGATTGTTTGTGCTGTACCTCTCTTCCTGCTTAAAATAGAAAATCAGTCACTGAACCTGGATGCTATTAAGTGTTCTTAGAATAGTTCTTAACTAAGTTGGCTGATTTGCACTTTCTGATGAAGGAACATTTGGTTGTTTATTGCAGGCTCTGAACAAACATGTTTTTCCAGAATCGACTAATAAGATTACTAATTGCATTTCATCAACAGAATTGTTTATCGTAGGTACGTTCCTTCCATCTAATATTTATCATTTTAGTTGCATTTTTATTTTGAAAGATCTGAAATTTATCTGCATCAAACATTGTGTCTTATCTGCATTTTGCAGGGGATAACAGGGAATGTTGATGTCTTACTGAGTTCATAGGAGAAGGGGGACAACAAGTATTTGATAGGATTGTTATCCCAAATCCAGCCCCTTACCTAGCCTTTCTCCATTACCTTTTCATCCATCATTCCCCACTGGCCTAAAGCAACACTTTTGATATACCTCCAATCATAAAAATCTTTTTTGGTTCTTATAGTCCCTTGTCCCCCCAGAATTCACAGATGTATCTGTTTTCAGGAAGCACATACAGTTATGGTCTGGAATGCTGGGGCTCTTGATTTTTTGAAATGATAAAATAGTCCTTTGCTTTTTCAAGCTTCTCCCTTCTGCTCTGTAGGCAAGCCATTCTGCTGAAAAAGTATTTATATGAAAAACCCCAGACTTACAAATGTGTACAGTATTTCACCACACTGCTTTTAGTTCTGTCTGGTATTCTGCAGAAGACCAGAGTGTGCTCATAGGGATACCAGTTAGCCCCAACACTTAATGCATGTAAATGATAGGGGAAAAAAATGTTCACTTCAAGAAAGCAGAGATGATTCTTGCTTAGTTGGATATTAAAGAACTACTGTCATTATTGTGTGTCCTTATTTCTCCAGAGGATCTGTGTCTTGATTAGGATTCTGTTGTGGCAAGTGCCTCTATCAATCACAGGGAGATCAAGTCCTTGCCTGAAGATGTGCATATAAAGATACCCCATACAGCAGCATGCCTTGAAGGAGCTTGATGGTAATCTCATAGGTGCTAAATATATTAATGTGAGTTCAGGTAGACTGGCATGTTTCTGAAGTCTGAGGTGTTTCAAGATAAAACCTTCTATTTATTGATTTATTTTAATTATTTCTATGATTCTCACAGGAATAACTGTGATGCAAAAACAAAGGATTTACCTGACTTTCAGATTTGTGACTTTCTGAACTTTGGATATTGTCCTTTAATATGTTGAGTAAGGTTGTGTAGGAGTTCTGTGTTAGGTGATTTCATCAAAGGAATGAAAAACTGAAGATGAATCCTTGTCACTAGTGCAGTTTACTTAGGAATTTACTGAGGATTTATCCCTTAATCTAAAGGTCATAACATTTTAAATAACATGCTTTTAATATTCAGAATAGACCCAATTGCCCTCTAAGCAGCTTATAACTTTGAAATGCTGTTAGCCGCAGATACCCATACATTACCTTCCCTCACTTTCCTTTCATAGAAATAATGAAACTTGAACTTTACTGCAAATATGCTTTTGTCTTTTGTTCAAGCAAAAGAGTAAGAGTTGACTGTAAGCCTGCTCATGCGTGGTGCTCCTGATTTCACTGCTTGATTTGTTTGCAGATATGGCAAACCGAGAAGATATGTTTAAAATATTGCCAGTTTTTATGTGTAAGAAGAATCCCATCCATGAAGGAATCTGAACTAGAAGGACAAGACAGGAGCTCTTGGCTGCACTCTTTGGCTAACATCATTAAGCCATTGCCATAAGATTGTATGAAGATGCACCACCCTAGGAATTTCAGATAAAACACCAAATACAGGGTATATATATATACACACATCCATTCCATTTCACAGAGCATCCACTCTGTCTCCAGGCACAGCTGCAGGACTCTTCATAAATAAATAACCTCGTGTAAGACAGATTATGTTCCTCGGATATCAATCACTGGTAAATATCGTGTTCTTACTTACGATGTAAGAATACTAAATGGAAACTCATGAAGATTTCAGATTGCCATTATATTTACAGTCCTGGGGCTTACTGCTGAGAATTATTGGATGTCTTTGCCTCTGAATGTGGACTGAAAGCTGCAGTGGGATACTCATTCCTAGCTTGACTCTCAGATTTTCAAATCAAGGTTAATTGTGCTTCTTAAAGCCCTACCTCTAAATCACTGCAAATATTGCAAAAATATTCCAAACTTTGACAGATAGGGTCAGTGAGGGAACAAAAGCCCCAAATCATCCTTTTCTGATTCCATATCTAGAAAATGTTTTGGACCAAAGTGTTGTTTGATTACAGCAACTAAATGTAGTGGGAGAGATGGAGGGAAATATGTCAAGAAAACACCTGGAGCATTGGAGTGCCTTCTGCACAGTGAAAGGGCAGTTATGTCATTCCCTTTATTTTACTGTGCCATCAGCTCTTTTTCTGTCAGTGGTCAGACATTCACCAATTCCAGCTGCAAATAATGCATCTCTCCATGTACTGATATCAAGAAGCAGGGCTGTTTTAACCCTGAGTTCTTACCATCTTTCAGAGGTAGTGAGTCTTATTTCTTTGCAGTCTGTTTGAATTCTTCCCTCACCAGCCACTGTTGTCCATTGGCCAAAATAAGGGTGAGACATTGCTTACAAATTCAGGAATTCTGTGTTGGACACTGTCAGTTTTTTGAATGAAGCCATAGTTGGGTGTTCTGAGATGACTCTATTTATTTTTTTCCAATATGAGTGCAGCTGCTGTTTCATTCCTTCTTAATTTTGGCTCATTTATAAATAATCCCAGACAAGTTTCAATATTTCTTTTTCATTATCTATTCCTTTCTGTTTATTCTTACAAGGGAAAAATATAGTTAGAATATACAGAATCCCGTCCCCCCTATTATTTAGTATATCACAGATTAGTTTGTGATCATTTTTATTGAACTCTAAGCATAAGGAAAAACTCAAAGCTTGCTAAATACTCTTTGTTTTTAATTGTTGCTTTTAATTATTGTTTTTATTAAGGAATATATAAAGGGATATTTGTTATCATTTACCTTCTTAACATAATTGCTCTTATTTTAGGATTGGATTAGTTAAGTTCTACAGCATTCTCATTAAATGGCAAAAGGATTATCAGCCCAGCAGAACAGTATGAGCAGTGTCAAAGCCACCTTGGCCAAAATGTGAGCTAAGAGGGGTGCACAGCACTGCAGTAAACCCTGGTTTAGTCCAGGTACCCTGGAAGTATTCCTAGGGAGGGTATCTCAGCCTGGTGAGAGAACCACTGCAGCTTACTGTAGCCATCTTTATCCTTAAGGAGCTTTAATATGGGGCAGAAGGATAAATTCAGATATTTGTTGAGGGATGATTGTTCTCAACGGGCATATAGCAAGTATGATTTTTTCCTAAAGTTTTTTTTTTTGTAATTTCTGGTTAGAGTTAAAGCTAGGAAAAATTAATTTCAATGTGCCTCTTAATTTGTAACTTTTGCAGTAATGCTCTACTTCATACGGCATTGTGGTTAGCACACAATGGGCCTCCTGAATTTTCCAAAAAGATTGCTTCATTGTAGGGTAAAGCTTATTATTTTGCTATTAGTCTCCATAACAGAATAAATAATTAAAAGATAAAAAGTGATTTAGCTTACCACAGAAATGCACAATGTTTTCAAATGTAGAAATCAGAAGCCTATTTTTACTACTTGTATGAAACAGTAACTAGGAGAAAATCATTTATGAATTGAGAAAGGGAGGTAGAGACTTTTTAGAGATGTATTCAGCCAATTTTGATTCTCTTAAATTATCTTGGGTATTTTCAAGCATTTTTCTTCAGTGGATTCATATTTCAGACAATATTTCTGACAATCTATTTTATGCTTCATTGACTACAAGGTTTGAAATTCTAGCTCATATTGGCACAGTAGTGTCAAATTTGTAGTGATAAATGGATAACTTTTTTTTAAATTTTAAATAGGTCTCTGTTGTTTAATTTGAGATCTGTAATTTTTTTTTTTTGGTTCATTACTTCTGCTATTTTTCTGTCCAGGAAAAAGTGATTAAAAGAGACAGAGGGATCAAGGTGCTTTAAACTTGTCCATGTGAAGAAATGGATTGTCCAAGGGAGGGTGAATGTACTCATGTTATCTATTCATTTTGCTTTAACAGAATTAATATTATAGTTTTCTGAATTTATTCTTTTTTACTGAACCAACACTGCTACTCTTGGGAATCTGTTTAAAATTTTCTACCCAGGATTCATTCTTGGGTAGTATGCTTGCAAATGTTATTTTCATAAGCAGAGATCTTTTATTTAGGTGTATCATGAATTAATTTTCTTGACTTTCAACAAAGTAGTAGTGTTGCTAAATTATAACCTCCTTATACTTAAAGTGATAATACCTCCTATCATTATTTAAGTATGTTCCACTACCTAACTGTGAGGAGGAGAAAGCTGAAGAGGAAATTATGCACTGAGAAAATGCTTCTATTTTAACATGTTCTCTATTATTCTTTATCCATTTTATAACAAACTATATATCTTCAAAAATGGGCCTTGAATCTAAAGTTAGTCATGTTGCTTTCCTAAATCTACAGAAATTTGCATATTATATTACTCATGTAAGATAATTCTGATCCCAGTCCTTAAGATTGTGTAGATTTTTTTTTCTTTGCTTTTTCTTGAAATTGGTGGAAAATATTCCTAGATTTTAACATGCTGTAATATCTGGGAGAGTCCATTTTTTGTATAGACTGCAATTAAATAGAGAGGACATAGAGTGGGATTATAATATGTCAAGAGGCAAAGAAGACAGTTCCCTACGGGTGGTCAATGAATTGCTTGAGAGGGCTGTGTTATATCCAAATAAAATACAAATATCAACTGTTCCTTGAAGTGGAATATAGAGCTTGCTTCTGGAACTGGTGACAATTTAAAGTCATGGTGTGATGAGGAATAGGACTGCTCCCCTTATTTGGGTCTTTGTCTTGTATGTACTTCTGTGCATTACATTTCCTTGTGTATACTTTGTGCTGTGAACTATTCAAGTTCCTGCTTTTTTTGTGTGTATCAAACCTATGTTTTCACCAGGAAAATATGTTTGACATTGGTTTTTATTGCCATTTGTTCAGGAAGCCATCATAGTGAATCACAGGATCATGGACTGTCCTGGGCTGGAAGAGATTCAAAGATCAACTCCTCATTCCACATGGGGCAACCCAAAAGTTAAACTTAATGTGCAAGAGTGTTCAAACACTCTTGAATGCTGCCAGGCTTGGATCCATGACTTCCCTGGTGAGCTTGTTTCAGTTCCTAAACACGTTTTCAGTGAAGAGCATTTTCTGAATCACAGAGTCAAAGAATACCATGTTGGAAGGGTTCTCAAGGGTCACCTGGTCCAACCATTCTTAGCAAAAGCACTGTCTCAACACGATGGCCCAGCACCATGTCCAGCCAAAGTGTCCAGTGCTGAGGAAATCACAACTTCTCTGGGGAAGATATTCCAATGCCTGATTGTCCACATTGTGAAAAATTCTCCTTGTGTGACCAACCAGGATCTCCGCAGGAGTAGCTTGTACCCATTAAACCTTGTCTTTTCCGTGTGACTGCTTGTAAGAAGAGCTTCCTTTCAAAGTGGGTTCACAAATCTGATCGATTCTAGAAATGCTAAACTGTTATGTTGTAGTACAAACAGAAAATCTTTTAGTTAAGTAAAGATGAAATGTTTCAACTGGCACATATTGATGTGCAAATGTATGTGTATATATACATATTCATATATGTAAAACACAGTCTTATGTATATAATACTTATATCACGAGTAAGTGAGCAATATAAAACTTGCATCATGAACTGTGATAATAATGTGCTAAAACATGAATGGAAATTCATGCATAACCAGCATAACCAGGTGACACTTTGTCCTCAAAATTCTGGTTGAAAAGCTATTATTTTACCATTTTCTTTACTGTTACAAATTCAAGGAAGGTCTTTCAATATAAGTAAGAATAAGGGGGAAATAAAAGTACACAACCCCTTTTCTTTGTGATTATTTTGACAGGGCTTACTGTTGGATTTCAGAGGCAGGTGCATTTGAGGGAATGTTGGTTGGTATTCCAAAGTGTGCTGACCTTACCACTGTAAGTTATGATATCATAAATTGTCTCTAATATTACTGTGAGATCACTATCCCACTCTGAGGTTTGATTATAATTGGCTAATAAGTTAAAAAATCACTGTACCTGGAAAAAAAACATGATCTCATTACGCCTGATTTCCTAAGAAATCAGTCCAAAGTGTTAAGACAGAAAGATATGGTGCTCATGGACTTAAATATGTTTAACATTTAGTGTTTTCAAAGAGAACTAAAGATTTTTTTGGGCTGGGAGTGAGGATTGATTGCTGGTGAATCGCATACATAATTCGTCAGTTGTCCTCATGTATTTTGATACTTGCGAATTTGTAACGTAGGCAATGACAGTTGAAAACAAAATGATTCTCCTCCTCTTCTTTTTCTCACTGATTTTCTTTAACTTCATCTGTGTTGCCAGAAAGGAGCTGGAAGGAAGGGAATTTGGATGAATTTATCTGTCGTGAGGGGAGAAGAAAGGCAAGGAAGAGCTTCTAATGTTTTAGCATGCATTAGAATGTTAATAGACAATTATCATAATTAAATAAAAACATTCTGGTTCCTTAGTAGTGTGCCAGTTTTCAAAAAGCAAGTATTCCTTGTTGTCTCTTACTTGAGAGCTATAAATCAATTTGTCTACTAAATCCAGGAGATGTCAAAGCACATGTTTTATTTATCATGGTGTGTTCATCTATTTGTCTTTTTCTTTATTGAAAATGTGGGTTGGTTTGAGACTTAAAATTGTTAATTTGCTACCCTCTCTCTCTACTTGAATGTCCTTTATTTTCATGTGCAGTCAAAGAACCATGAGTATAAGCCTCCATGCTGTGCGTATAAATAACTCCTCTAGCAACTGGAAAGAATTAAAACACGGCATTAGCAGCAAAAGCTGCATTAGTTGGATGGTTTACCCAGGATACGCTGATAAACTTGTATCTATTTAAGAAAGATCTAATTAGGATCCTTTTGTTACATAAACTAAACCATTTTATTATAATGAAACATACATAAAATAATGAATAGAACATAATTTTTTATAATTTCATTCAAATGTGATGACTTAAAGGTAATTTCTACATTTTAAGCATTTAGTTTCATGACATTTTCTAGCAATTCACCAATTATAATGCCTCAAATGTTTGTCATTATTAAGAAACATTTAATGTAAGATTAGATTAGTCATAAATATTTTATAGGGAGAAAAATTATATTGTTTCAGGTACATCCCAACATCTTTATGCCTGTAATTCTGTGCATCTGCATACAAATAAAAGGGATGCTTTGTTAGCATATTGCACTCCTACTATATCCTTCTGTTGTGGGTGAGTCAGTCTTGAAGATTGTCTTGATTTTGCTTCCAAAGTCTAAAGCTAGATACATTTTGGGATGACTTTTCTTCCCTTTCTCTGTACTGTCGTCTCAGCAGCCTTTGAAGTTGTGGCTGTTCCCAGGCATTTGAAGATCTGTCCTTGACTGTCCATAGCATGGCTCCACCTGGCACAGTAAGGGACAGGTCTGGCAGCCTCCTTGTTGTTTTTCTAGACCACTAGGACAGATATGCCATTTTGTCTTATTTTGTAATGAAAAACTGAAGTACTACAATTTTAAGTGATGGTGTAGGGTTTTGATGGGCTGTGGCACAGAGGTGCTTTGCTCAGTACCTTTAATCACCTTTTGAACTGCAACACTTGAGGCATTGGTCTTCCCAGGGAAGACAAGATGTGTGCCATGGCAGTCTCATATGAGGGAAAATCAGTCTTCATGAATCAAGTCAGTAAAGAGGAAGGTGGAAAGAAGGAAGCTGCATTTTATTTCATATTTAACAGCAGGATTGCTGAAAACATAAATATTTTAATTTTTAGGCACACATTTTAAAGAAAAAAAGTAGTTAATCTCCCGAGGAAACAAGAAATATTCTGTATGGGTTTTCCCTCTTCATTCTCTTTGCCCTTCCTGTCAAGGAACTGCATACCAACCTGCTTCTGGCCCATTGTGCCCTCATCCCTCCTGACTATACTCTCATTTTTATGACCCAAACAGCAGTCCCAAAAGCTCCTTTCTCAGGGGCTTGTGACATGTATCTGGGCTGTGACTCACCTGCAGCACTCCGGGCATCGTGTTGGTTGGTGACAGTAAGGACACCCTGTCTTACAGCAAGCAGAGCCTAACTGAGGAACTCGTGATGTGAGCCCTAGGCAGGAGCTGGACGTGGGCAGCAGCAGCAGGAGCAGCCTGGTGTGGAGCTTCCTGGAGAACACCCACAGTTTTACAAAGCAATAGCACACCTCAGAAGAGATGCTTGGTAAGATCCCTCTGCTGTGTGCTTTAGGGGTGTTTGTCACTGTAGAAGTTTAATAAGCTTGAAGGAATCATAGTGTCTGCTCTGGAACCTGTCTGCTCCATTTATTCTCTTGCTATCTGAGCACAAAATAATGCTGGGTGATTCTATTTGGATCCCACATTAACCAAATTTCTATCAATGACTTAAAATATAAATAATATTAGCTGCTAAACAGAATAGTGTTTCACAGAACCATTTAAAACTGTCTAATCAAATGAAATAAGAAATAATTTCTTGTAAGGTTGTTTTTTAGTTTATGTCTAGCCTCTGTTTTCTATAGTTTTGTGCATCTATAAATTCTGCCAAGTTAGTTTTTTTCAATAGACAATATTGGTCTTCCTTTGAAAGTTTGATTTGCTTCCTATGAGATTTCTTGATATATAGTAGAAGTTTAGTTATGACTTAAGCTTGAAAAGATACCACCTTGACTGTTTCATTGCCTCTTGATAACCTTAAAAATATGTGTGGTCCACATGCTACCACCTGGGTGTTGAAGCAGCAGCATTTCTTTTAAAAATGAACACAATTATTAAGAAAGATAAGGGGCTAAAATAATAATAATAAAAAATATATATTCTTATGTAGAACATGTGATTCTTATGTTTTTAAAATAGTCTTAGCTGTATACTTGGCAGCAATTTCTTAAAATTTCATTTTCATTTAGCTGTGGATTCCTCTTAGTCATCTATACTAATGCAAGCAGCAGTCCCCATTCAATGCATAGAAGGCTTTTAGTAAGTTGTAAGGGTAAGAATAGTGTCTTTGCTTTTTAAATTTTCCCTTTTGTTGGCAAACACATATTGGAAAGAAAGAGAATAGGCTGGCAATGTCCTTTCTTAGTGTTTAATGAAATGCTGTTAAAAATCAACAGTATGACAGAATTTATTTCCTTCCAGCAGAAACAAAAGAAAAACAAAGTTGTTTACAATAACACCATTTTACCATTTCTTTCCCTTTTTTCTCTATATGATAAACACCATATTTCTTGTGTAAGAAGATCATTTCTCTTCTCATACACCCTGTGAAGTAATTACAGCCATTAGTTCCTTGGTGCCCATTCTGCTGGTACTAATGAAATCTCTTCTATTTATTTATCTTGTAGTTAACTTTACTTTGGAGCCTTGCAATGACATAAACAGTGATTGAAAGTTTTCACAGGTTTTGTGCCTGTGCTCTTGCACTTGTTGGCTTCTCTGGTGTGCACATCCAAGCCACAGCCTGTCCCTCTTCAGGGGTGTGTGTTCGAGGTCTCTCCCTGTCACCAGAAGTCTCTTTTGACAATACCTGAGGAAACTGTGTGTTTAACCTCTCCACCCCAAAGTTTAATTTCAGCAAAACTAACAGTTCAGAAAGTGATTAATGAGGGTGATAAGCAGGCTGACAAGGCAGATAGTATTGACTTTATTAACCTGTTTAACTAGGGAACTGGGTAAAAAAAAACCATAAAAATTAAATGTAACCTCTAATGCTTCCTTTTCATGTTTTATAGGAAGTGGGAATCACTCACAGTAAATTATAGTTCCAAAGAAAATTTATGCCATTATGACAAATGCAATATAAATAGGTAGATAGGCTGGATTTCACAGCCGCCTTTTACTAAGTCATTGTCCTGCCCCAGACTGACTGCACTGTAGTGATTCATAGATAATGTCTTGTAATGAATGAGCATAATTCTGGTGGAACTTGGAAACTGGTAGTTAAGCTTGTTTTTAAAACACTTATTTATTTTAGTGGTACAGTAGAAGCTGAAACTAAAATAAGAACAGAAGTCTCCTCCTTTTCTCCTTCAAATTTTTTTTGGAAAGAACACAACATTTGACTCTTACATCTTATAGAGGTATAAAAAGGCAGATATCCCTCTGGTTGCAATCTCCATCTTAATTAATTAGAAAAACCTGAGTAGCCACTTGGGTTTGTGCGTTGCTGGAACCAGAAGTTGGAGATTAGCAGTCTCATCTGTGGTGGTCCTGGTCTCCATCTTAGAAGGTAAACGGAGTTGAAAAGGCTCTTAACTTTTGGGTTCGTTTTTATAATAAAAGTAAATTTTTTTGAAACTCAAGTCAGGAAATGAAAAATTGAATGTTCTCAGGGTAACACTAGCTCAGCCTCTTTGCTCAAATAGATTTTTTTTCCCCGGTAGATTTCTAAAGCTTATTGTATTACCATTTGTTTTGCTCTGCATGGAAGGAATTCCCTTCTTTGCAAGGTATACACTGCCTTCTGTACGCTGTCAATGGCTAAACAGTACTAATAGCAATGATTAAAGGATCAGATGTACAGTTCAATTAGTAGAAGTGGGTTTTAATTTCCTGAGCCTTGATTGGGGATGATATTGATGTAACCTTAATTTTAACTGTGTATATGTTTTGAAATGTAAATATAAGACAGTGCATCCAGAAAATGTCATCAGGCATGAGTGAGATGTGCTAGACTGTGTATCCCTCCAATGCAAGAGCAAACAGAAAAGAAAAAAGCAGCTAAGTCATTCGATATCCTGTGCTTCTCTCAGATCTGCATCGCAGCCTTATCTTCCTTCCTTTCATCACACACAGCTCACATATCATTACCCACCCCCACACAAGCAATTTTGTTATCAGCCACAATTATTATTTGCCAACACACTGAATAGAAATTATAGAAATTATAGAACTGAAATTTAGAAATTAAAGCTGTCATGTAGTTCAACTGCACTCTGCATATTTCTGCTCATGAGCTGTGCTGACCACCGCCAGCTCGGCAATGGGATCATGTAGAAGGGCTTTTTAAAGTTCTCCTTGGGGTTTTTCTGCACTTCTGAGGACCGAGGAGGAGCCCTCAGCATTGAGTGTGCTGCCCTCTGCTTCGTCCCTGCTCATGGGGACCATCCTTCACCCGGGCCAGGAGCCGCTTTGCGAGACCAGGGCTGATGGAGATGAGGCCAAGCAAGAAGCAGCAAGATGTGGGTCTGCCTACAGCATAGCACGAGAGCAGGCCATGGGCTGGAGCTTAAATCCAGCTCCTAAGCTGTATGAGGGGCAGAGGCAGCAGCATGTTTCCCAGCAGTGTTACTGGAGCTAGCCGTGAGCAGCTAAAGCCCAGGATGGGCCAGGAGAAAGGCTGCAGGATGCCTTCGTGCCTCAGGCAGGGCTCTGTCATAACCTTTCTCTCTAGAGAGGAATGTATCAATGTAAATAGAGTTTAATTACTGTCTCTTCATTCCCTGTTGAGAAATGGTGAGAGAATGGAACCAGGACATGTGGAATTGGCACCAAGTATCATTCATCTCTTATTGGCCACTTCTGAAACCCACGCAGTGAGATTTACCATCATCAGAAAAGAAAATGTGGGTCTGAACTTTGCAGATCTGATGACAATTCTGATCTTAGTGACTATTGTTGTCAGCGGAAAAAGGAGGAGGTGATGCCTTGTGTGGGAAAATAGAACTGAATGAAAACTGAGCTGGAGAAAAGTCAAATCTGAGAATGCTTTAATACCCTAAAGTCTTGTAATAGACCTATGGCAACTCCAGAACTCCTGCTTGGATTTAAGAAAATAAGCTCCCATCCAGTATTTGACACTTCTGCTACACCCTGAAATTGTAAATTTTCCCCTCCTGTGTTAAGGCTCATGAACTGCAATAGCAGCCTAAATATTTCACCTTTCTTTTGTCATTTTGTTTCTGTAGGAGTAGGGAAGCTGAGTTGTTTAACATATGAAAAGTGAATACTAAGAGATCTCAATTCCTTCCTTAATGGAATGTGAATGCCAAGAGTAGCTAATAATGAGGAGGAGACTTGCATTTGTTGATTTTTAAGGAGAGAAAAGTGTTTTTCTCCTTTGTTTCTACTGGAAAGGAATAGCAAATAGGCAGCAATGTAGTATTACTATTATTGGTCAAAGAAGAGGATATATTACAACAATTTAATTCTACATGTTCATTAAAGAATGGCTAATTGAAGGTCAAACAGCTAAAAAAATGTGCCCTCAGGACTCTTTTTGTCCCTGCAGCTCATTGCATGGAATGGTAACTTTCACTTCATCTCAATAAGGTGATCCATTTTATTTCCTAAAAATGAATTAAAGATGGTGAATTTTCCTTTTTATAGGAAGATAGCAGAAGGAATATTAGAAAAGATCAAGTCTAGAACTGTTATTTGGGTATCTTTCTGTCTGTGAGGAGGACCCCTGTGGTGTTATATTCAGAGACATTTATTCACCGTCTCAAAGTGAATCTTTCCTCAAAGATCTAAATTTCAGTTGTCAAAACTTTCTCCTTTCAGATATAGCAACAGAAGACTTTAAAGCCATGGGAATAACCTTTGGCTTGAATTTAAATGCATATCTCCAGGGACTTTAAACTCAAATCAGACTGCTTTCTACCCAACAGATTTTGCAGGTAATACAATATAGTTCAGAAATTCTTTTCAGAGCCATGCCTTGCTCAATCCACCACCACAAACACTATGAGTAAGGTGAAAGGAGGACCCTCAGTACTCCAGGCAGACACTTAAAACTCCTTTTGTTTACATTCCCTTGCATTGGTTCTTTTTTACTCTACACCAAATTGTATGTCTTTGGCAACTGTTGCTGTTTCCATCTCTCCTGTAAACTGAGTTACTCATAGCTGTCTCTTGGTTTCATGGTACACAACACTTTCGCTCCAACTTTGCTTCCTTTGTTTTGGCTGGTGTGCTTAAGAATTCTGAAAGTGTTTTTCCGTTTCAGAAGAGGAGGGCTCTGAGAACACAGGCAAGTCATCGCAACCGGATGTGGCATGACAGTTTTGTTGGCTGTGAGCACGCTGAGGAGCTGTAACAAGGATTGTACATCTCTGTATAACGTAGATCTGTGTACAGTCCTGGCTCTGGCCTGTGTGTGCACACACAGCATCTTCTCTGTGCAGGCCACCCCAATTCACCTGGTGCAGCTTTTCTCCTACAAAAGAGGTTTCTGGGACCATGACTGTTCATAACCATCATTAAACATTAAGGAATGATAATCCAGTGTCCTTGCAGGCAATAATTATCCTTTTGGTTTCAGCTGTGCTGTGGATATGTTGTGTTCATCTCAGTCTGATTTCTGTAGCACTGACTGCTGTTAGATGCCAGACAGAAGAAGGTCTTCACAGGTGATGTGCTTCTGTTTCTCAAATATGTTCTGAAAGAAGCATTGCTCAGCCTTCCAGCTGCAGTGCCACAGCAGTCATATACTTCCAGGGAATTGAATACTGTGGGGAGTGTGGGTTAAAATGCTCATGAGCAGCACATATAAGTGTCATTAACTGAAAGAAATTAACCAGTTATTTTTACATGTGTTGAAAAGGAGCAGCCTAAGCCAGCAGTTCATCCCATCATGGGCAGCAGTAAAACTATGATGCACAATTCTACCAAACCAGAGAACTCATCCTATCCAAGTCTTCACTTGCATCATACTGTGCAGTGTTGGTTTTTTTTTATCCAGTATAAACATTAAAAAGGAACAGAAACAAAACAAAAAAGCCACAAACCCTCAAGGTCAGTCAGTCTAAATAATGACAGGCAATACAAATGCATTTTATACATAAACAGAAAAGGAGTGGGGAAGGTCTTTCTCATTATGCCAAATGGCAGTCTGGCTATGATTTAATGCATTTGAAATTAAGTCTGTCTCTTCAGCTGTACATTTTACTGGGTCTGCAGAACAGACTGGCAGACAGTGTGAGCAGATGCTTCTGGTTGGATCAGGATAAATTTCTTTGTGCTGGCTTTTTCATCTGATAAAATCTTTTGAATCTTTTTACAGCAGTGAGCTTTAGGTGTTTTCCAGCTGAAGTGTTGGACCAAATAAACCTACTGGTGTATCATTCTAAGGAGCCTGTAAAGGCAGCTTCTGTTTAAAAATCTCTGCTTACTGCATAGGTAAAGAACAAATATGAGTCTATGACTTCAGTTTCTTTCTCGTTCTTTCCATTTTCTCATGGCACCTAAAAAAATGTCATTTTTCTTGTGAATTCTTGTGATTTTTTTCACCCAGTCAGTGCAACATCTGGTCCTTTAGGGATTTACAGGATGTGAAATCAACACCTTATTTCATAAGTAACCCAAAGAAAAGGAGAATATGGTTTGGTGCTTTTTTTTCTTCAGAATTAGATGTAGTAACCTACTCTTCTTCCTGCTTCCTTGTGTGTGTGTGTATCTTCCTGGACAGTTCTAGTGGTAATATTTTTATCAATAGTCAAACTCATAAAGTCCCAGATCCCTGTTTCTATCCCACAAGCAGACCCTGAGAACAATGACCTTTTCCTGAAGAGTGGGAAAACATATTATGCAACATTTATTATGCTTTGTCATCTATTATACTTCTATACATAATAATAAAAAGCATTTCCAGAATGACATAAGGCATAAGTATAGCCAAAACCATGCCTGAGTACCATTGACCGAACATGTTAGAGATGTAATTCCTTATTGTTGATGTGAACAGTTCAAAAGCTTAAATTTTCACTTTAAACAAAAAAATTATCTATAATCTCTGAAAAATTATTATGCTTCCTGAAAAATTCAAATAAATTGAATTGAATGGAAATTAACAAAAAAAAAATAAAGAAAAAAAAAAGAAAAAGGAGTTTAAAATGCCCTTGTTGATAATTCTCTATATGCACGATTTTTCTTTGTTCCTCTTTTTTGTTCCTTTTCTTTTTTTTTTTCTACTTAGGAGCTTTGTTATCTGGGTCTTTAGTTCTTCCTACTCCTTTCATATCTTAGCTACTCTTTCAGCAAGAGTTTATGGCCTGTGAGCCAATTGCCTTTTTCTTCTTTAATTATGGAAGTTGAAGGCCACTTTGTCTGCCCTGAGTGCTTAATTGAAGGAGGACCATGCTTGCTTTTTTGTTCCTGCCTAGCTTGCCAAGAGTATGGTGCGCTGCACAGAAGGGACAACAGCTTCTTTAGTGATTTCTTTTTAACTAGCATCCTGAAGTAAAATGGGGAGCCAATAAAGAGATTATAGCACTGTGTCCCTTATTTAGGAAGGTTTGTGATGGCCTAGTCTAGGCTAAGTATATGTAGAATGTTTTCCAGCTTTTCTTTCACCTTGGTTGAAGATACGAAAAATACTTTTTTTTAAGGAGTTCACTTAATATATCCTGTGTCTCTCTCTTTTCCTCTATACTAAAAGAGGGAAGGGGTTATATTGACAAAGAAATCTCCTACTTTCTACTCTTTCATCACTAAGTGATATTTTTCTCATTTATTTATTTTGAAAGAAGCATATGTGTGGTCACTGCAAGCTGCTTTGGCCTTTTATATTCCATTCCTATAAATCAGCCAGAATGTGACTTTGAAAGATAATTATCTCTATTCAAGTTTTATTATTTATTTGCCTTCGTATGTTTGCCCAATTTGATATCTGAATGAGTCATTGTTTTATAGAAGGCATGTCTTTAAAATTATTCAATACAGTGATAGGATTTCTAAGCAGGGAATTTGAATTACTCTTACAGTATTTATGCTAAAATGACAATCAAGCACTCTAGTTTTACCCTGAGATACTTGCTAAATTGGTAGTGGGATTGAACTTGGCTCTGACTTTTCAGAACATGCAGATCTTATGACTGAGTCATGAAGGGTGAACTGTCACATATCAAAGTTTAATTATTGCTTAAGTTTTTCCTTCAGTCATTCTCTGATTTGCTCATACTAAAGGAAAAATATTTCCTGTTGTGATGTCTTTTATTTTCCCAGGAACAAATCCAGTGATGCCAAAGGAAGCTGTGATTTCAGTTTAGTGACAGAATACAAAAAAAAAAGTGATAATTATGTTATGCTATGAATATTGGTTATAAATTACATTGTCTCATGTAAGCACTCGGGACTTCTGTTTTCTTATTCTTTTTAGTGCATCATTTTTTCACAATATTGGAAGCCTGGCCATGTGCAGAGATTTTCTTATCTAAGGATACCAGCTGTTTACTGGAGGATGAAACTAGTTGTTCCTTTCTCAAGCAATGTCTGTCACAAGGAGACAAAAATGTGTGTATGACTTGATTTGTTTTCATAATGACGAATGTAGTTTAGTTAGGAAATTGATTATAAAAATAGAAACCAGGCTTTGAAAAGCAATTTGAAGATACGGTGTGGATCTGTTATGATCATTTTAAGACTACTGAGAATATTTCACTTACGTAGTTAATCTTTTCAGTGTCTAGCAATAATGTTAATGTGGGAAGCCAATGTTGAGAGTAGGATGCACGCTTGGCTGATATGCACCCAAATTATATGCTAACTACTTAATGCATTATTTCCATGGAATGAGTACATAGAATGCAAATGTAATATAAAGCTGAGACATTAATCTTCTTTAGAATATACAAGTATGAGCACAGAGGAGCAGTAATCTCATTTAGGCTTCCTTCAAATAATGTCGAGAGAGGATTTTGACTCTCTACTGGTTTAGAGGCATAAGCAACAATTTGAGAGTCAGGATCTATCAGATTCAAGCTACCCTTGTAACATGTTTCAAATCCCAGCCTTGAAATATCTCAAAGCCTAGGCTGAAAGAAATATCCTTTGTATCAAGGGAGTACTGTCTTTGTATGACCCAGACAGGGACTGGGCTCTATGTCATGCTATTCCTCCAGTCCTTCATGTGGTTAGTGTTGCTCACTGTTACTCTGTATTAATTCTGACCAAATTAAGGAAGCATCCTTTCTGTAGCTATGGAAGAACTCTCTACCTGTTGATATGAACAAACTACTTGATGATTAATTTACAAAATGTATGCACGTTGCCTAGGCAGACCAGTTAATTCAAATTTGCTCAAGATTTTGATAATGTTCTCAGCACACTGCTGTCTTCTTGGAAAGTTCTTCTACCAAATGAAATGAAGCAGGTGTCATTTAAACAAACCAGCATATGCAAAAAATAAAGTTATCTTGGTCTTATATATGTTAGTTTGTCTTTTAGCATGCTAGAATTGTAAACTTTCAAGTTCTCTTGGTTCAGTTTTGTGTTTATACATTCACTTCTGTGGTAATTTTTCTTCCTTGACAAATCTAAGACAGATGCAAGTGGTACACCGACAACAGGCCAAGGAGGTGACCTGAATATTTTAGCATGAGACTTGCTTTCTGTGATTTGGTCTAATCAAAATTAGTATATAAATGCCTCTCTCTTCTTCGAGTTTTATTAGTCTATATAAAACTTCACCATTTCACCTCTTTACTTTCTTGACATATTTCATGATTGTGGCATAAATGGGTCCCTATCTTTAACAGAAGAAAGCATTGTAGATTATGAAAAGATTATTAAAAGATTCAATTTTCTTGCTTCTAAATCCTAAGTATGTGTGAATACATTGACATAAATACCACTTTACTTTAGCTGAGGAGACCAACAAAATGTCTACAGATTGTTTGCAGGCTGAGTCTTTCTCATTCTGTGAAGACCCAAGACTTTGTCAGGGCTCTGCGCTTCTCAGCTTGTGCAATACCAATTTTCAGGGCACTGTTTTGGGATATTTGGATGCACACTCTTGGACATGTAGGACCTGAGATGCCTCATGGGTTTTTTTATTTGTTAGCTTCTAATTCTGTAGTACTGTTTTGCCACACTGACTTCTGTGGGAGATGGGAGGGGCTGCAGGTAGAATTGGAGGTAATTGCCCATGTTTTATTAAACACTGCTTTTTGAAGTCCTTCTAGACAATGTATGCTGAAGAATTTAATCTTAACCATGTTTAGCTTTGCATGCAAGTGGAGATCTGGTTGTACATAAAAGAGTTTAAACAGAGTTGTCATACTAACATTTCAATCTTTTCTTTCCGGCACAGCACCACTGTGGGTGTGTTACATAAATTGCCACAATGGAGTGCATTTCAGATCCTTCATCTCAGAGGCCATCTGTCATTGAAAGTGGCACATTCACCTGCCCATCACTTCTGCAGCAATGTGTGCACTAGACAGGGCACATCCCAATGAAGTTAACAACAGGAGCAGCTTTTCTTACAGCTGCCTTTGGAAA